AGTGGCATCAAGCCCCATGTAAAGTAATAGTGCCTGGGCTGTACCTTCCTCAATACTACAAAATCCTCCACTGCAATTACCTGGTGGATTTTGTAGGATTGTGGAAGATTTGGGTTGATTACACAAGCATGCAAATTGTGGTAAACTGCCAGAACGTGAGTTTGTCAATAAGATTTGTTTTCCTCTGCAGTGTCTTGTCATTCCCCGGACTAATTGCTGTTCTATCACATTAGTAAGTTCTGCTTACATGAAAAATTCTCTCTCCTTATTAGATAATGAAACCATCTTGATTGTATAGACCCCATCCCTCCCCCACCCCTCAAAAAAATTACAAAGTCGTTCGAATACTGAGCTCACAATGCACAAGACGAAGTCCTGTATAGACCATTATCATGTTGCAGCCATTTGATTTTTTCCCATTCAGATCAATGTAACCAAAGCGAGGCTGGAAGGAAAAATAGTCTGGTTCCTTTTTGCACACAAAAATTATCATTCGGTACTGTTATTGGATACAGGGAACATGACTGAAATGGTGGCAGCATGATAAAGGTCTATTGCCCCGAACTCATTACTCGAGCAGACGGCCGATGGGTATGTGTAATTACGCATACCAATATCATGAAGAATGGCATTTGCCGCTCCTGGATAGCTGATAATTTTGTCATTAACTTTGACCCTGATGCCCTCATGGAAGATGGAAAAATAAAAGAAGAAAAAAAATGCCAAATCGAAAGTGAATATTTGAAACGTCTGGAGAAGAATTCAAAGCACTTATCTGCTTTGCACTGCCCATATGGTGTCGATGTGGAAGTAATGTACCTCTTTCTCCCCCCCCCCCCCCCATAAAAACAGCTAACACTTGATGAGTGAACGGGCGAGTTCAACAGATTGCAAGCAAGTTGATTCAAAGTGCAAGCCATCTATCCTTGACTCGCATACCCTGTCAGAGACAGCAGTGCGAACAGGGATAGACCGGCATAGATCAGGCGCACTGTCTTTTGAACATCTGATGGATGTATTCCAGAAATAACTTTGGGGAAGAAACACCCGCGGGTGATTTTTTTTGTTCAAAGCACAACTGCAATTTATCACTCGCAAATCTAACGTGCAGTTGCATAATATGGAAACAATTCAGTCAGTACCAACAGTTACTGCACATCTTTTGTGGATAAAGACGATTTTATAACACCTTTAGGTTTTAATGTCCATTTTTTTTTACAAAATTTATATATTTGAATTCATTTTGATGATATTTGGGGAAATACACATCTCCACTGATTGTACTCCATTTACTTGAACATTCTTCCAAGCCTGGGTTGTCTTGTTTATTTTAAAAGTACATGGAAGTACTTTCATTAGAACAACTTGATCATAAAATTGTGAACGCTTTTGAGGAAATGTTATCACTACTGCACCAGGGACACTCGTTATTCACTTCAGTAATGGAGTATGGAGCCCCGAAAGAATTATTTTTTTCGTACCCGTGTCAATCAACCAAATGTGCATTGTATTAACTGTACGTTCACGACTAAATTAATTCTGGAGTGATATTGAGTGACCTATTGTCACTTATTACAAAACAGCAAGGCAAGAAATACATGTATCTAAAACTGCTGTTACGTGTTTAAAAGTCGACGAGTGAAAGCCACAAATTGTGTTTCTCCGTCCACGCATTTCGAAGTCATTACGCACATTAAACTCTTGCGCGCTCAACGTCGCTTGGACTTGACGTCAACAAGAATCGTTAGCACAATGGCCAGAGGTCCTTGACCACATGATAAATGGTCAAAATTAATTGTCTTCCCGAACCAAGAGCCACTAGCGTATGTTTTCCTGTAATTTTTCTATGGAATGCGTAATGAAATTCACTTTCTAATTTCAGAAAAAGGTGTTTAGAGTTGCATGTACATGTACGGCTACTTTTTTTTTCTTCAAAGATTGATTACTCACTCTGGGTGTTCAAGTGAAAATTCACCCCGTCCCACTGGAACTAGGGACAAAACGATTGACAGTGAAATTGATTCAATCGATCAGATCAGGTTTTCACGCAAATTTCGACTGAAGTGACTCATTTTCAAAGTATCTCAATTCAAACTTGGAGTGATTTTCATCACTCAAAATTGTCTAATCCCTGGTGTGACCCTGGTGTGGATATAAGACATCAGTTAGCCTGAAGATGGGGGAGTGTGGCCTAGCGGTTAGGGTTCGTAACTCATGATCAGAGGGTCAGGGGTTCGAATCCAGCTGCTGGCCGTATGTTGTGTCCTTGGGCAAGCCACTTAATCCCCACTTGCCTCTCTCCACCAAAGAGTGTAAATGGGTACCGGCATTAGCTATAACCTACGATGGACGAGCATCCCATCCAGGGGGAATAGAAATATTCTCAGTTGTTTCGTGCTACTGAAACCTGAGATAAATGCCGGCCTGATGGGCCAAAAACAGGTAGGTTCGTGATCTACTTTACCACTACAACCCTGAAGATGCACCATTAACTGGGGAAGGATTCAAAAGTACAAAAAAATAAACAAGGGGGGAAAAAAGAGAGATATTACCAGGAAAAAAGAGAGAAGCGCATGAAAACTTATCCCACAGACCAGACATGCTTTGGTTGAATTGCGTGCACTAAGAAACAGTTCCAGGAAATAGTGGGTCCCTGCCAACCGAAGCTATGGCCACACGCCGTGCCGGCACGCTATCTTTAGCTAGCTACACAGTATGAGGCTGGCTGATTTTTTTCCCCCCCTCTTGCTGTTTATGACGTCCTCTTCTAATTATGAATACATACAAAACTAGAAAGCACTCAGAGAGCGCAAACCTCCACCAAGGCTAAACAATTCCTCCGCCATATTGTCAGTACACCCAAAAGAAATACTCGCATAAATGGTGAAGAATCCTTTAAAAAAATCCTGGATCCAGATCACTTCCAAAATCCAATGGATTTTGTACTTGTACCAAGGACCAATTTTGTTCATGCAAAATACATCAATGACTTTCTGAGTTATCTTGTTGACAGACAAACTAACCAACCAACCAACCAACCAACAAGCAAACGCAGATGAAAACATCATCTCCTTGGCGGATGTAATTAAACAGAAGATCTGAGATCGACATTTTCTTTTGATGACGGAAAGTTGTTATTGCCTGACTTCAACTCTTTTGAACAAATTCTTTAAAATTAATAGAATTTCTCCAATATTTCCAATACCAAACATCATCAGCAGTGCCATTTCCATATTTTTTTTGGGGGGGGGGGCTGGGGAAAAAGAGTAAGGGGTTTCTCCAAGGGGATCATAATGTAAACTTCCAAAGAGGATCTTTCGTTGCATTTTTTTAAGACTTACATGTAACTATCATTTTTTATATAAGCAGGTCGTATTTGCGAATGAGCATAAAGACATATGGATGAAAAAAAAATTCTTGAAATAAAGGACCCCAAAAAAGGACGATGCAACACGCAGATCAATGAACTGTGAACGAACCGCGCTGTCGTGCAGATCTACGCATCAACAATCAGCCTGAAAATATTGCTTAATAAACCCTGACAAGAAGACACTCCAAAACTTAAAGAGCGCACCACATGAAGAAAAAAAAATTACAGGAAGTGTGAACGGGTAGCGATCAATGCTGCAGTTCTACAGGCAAGGTCGGTCGCCAATGACGGTTTCAGATAATTGCCAATATTCGAAAAGTGGCAAGGCTTCAAATATTATTTTGATTGCAAAAGAACAACCAAATTTTGACGGTATATGAACATGAAAATTAAGGAGCAGCAAGGTCAGTGTGTTCAGAGAAAGGGAGGTTTGCTGGAGTTCGTTTGAAGATGTGTGGACAACTTCACGGAGCTACTAAATTAGCCAAAAAGTTTGTAACGACAGACGAATCCAGAACCTTGATCGTTGAACTCTCACGAGGCCCCCATCAATGAAGAAACCACTGTGCGCGCTACGGTACATACATGTACACGTACAAAGCAACTGCCCTGTGACAGATTATCTGAACAATAGCTAGCACAATGCTGTCGCCATTGATAGGGGCCTCTGTGATAGATTCCTATGCCCATGTATGCAGATTTCTTTTTTTTTTTGGTGTCACTATTTTAAGCAATTTTACCTCTAAAATTTGTGTGATATTTGCCGTGCTTACTGCTTTATGGTCCACAGTTTGTGTAATGGACAATGGCTCCACTAGCAGAAAATCAAGTGCTTAGCAGCGCCACGAAATTGGACCTCGAACCGAAATACAGGAACTGCTTACGCTTAATTCAAACTAGGTTTTGCCCTTCACCAACGTATTTTGCGTCGGGGTGCTTACGCTTAAATTCAATACATACAATGCTCATGTAGAATATGCACAAGAACACCCTTACTCCATTACAAACAGAGAGTTGGGGGGGGGGGGGCCTCGAATGCATTTCTGTCATATTCCTGTCACTAACGCGAAGACGACACAGGCTGTGCACATTCAAATGAACATTACATGTAATTGTGCAAACTTCGCGCCATACACGGTGAACTAGTGCGCGTACGCAATGTGTCTCCCTCTATAGAGCTGTCCTGAGTTGATCATCGAGTGCCATCTCCAGTGAGATGCAGTCCATACCGGAAACATTATTTAAAATGCCACGAAACAAACACGTTGGATAACATTAGCGAGACTAATTAATAATGCACTATAATATAAACCCACAACACTGCATAATTGATGCAGAATGATGCAAGATGGGGGATGGCTCGAAATCGTCGCTGACGTATCGATTGGCCAAAAAGACCCCATCGTCGTCCTCATCCTAAGAGCAAACACCTCTCTGAACTGCGTTGAACCTGTCGCTGCACATTGCACACACAGCAAATTTGTGCAGATGCCGACGGTAGAGGTCAATGGCCTCGGTAAATGAAGCTTTCAAGTCACAATGCAATGACATAAGTTGCTTGGGCATCCTTCTTTGCTCAACAAACAAATCCTCTTAAACACGGACTTTACAATAACGACAAAAAACTTACCATTAGCGTTTGGTTGCCTACCGGTATTCTTCGATGCGAGCTCTGCGGAGGAAAGAAAAAGACAATGAACGTTCTTGTCATTATTGTTGCCATAAGCTGATATTGTTTTCTTATTCTGCTGATGAACTGTTAGGCCTACAGTTTTACATACAGGAAGTAACCAAGGACGTACATTTACATGTAGGTGCACTTTCAATATCTGAACCATCTCTTCATTGTACCATTGCTAGATAAGCTACGTCCAAGTCGTGTCAGTTTAGATTCAGGATTTTTGTTCAAATGGGGGGTGGGTGTGGGGACGTGGAGTTTGTTTCTGGATTCAATAGGGGACGTTGAACAATAGAGGACAATGGGTCCGCCATCTCCCGAAGGTCCACAATTTACGATCGCGGACAAAACATATGGGAGGTCTTCCTAAAAAGTTAGAGTACAAATAAAAGAGGGACAATAGGGAGTCCTCGATTGCAGGCAAATACAAACTTCTGTGGGGGAGGGGGGGGGGGTGTGGGGATGGGGTCCAAGCATAAAACCAAAGGCCAATGAATCAAGCATTGAATAATATTGAGTGATTATGTTATTTCATGAACTAACAAGTAAAGCCACTTTCGTTTATTTAAGGCTGACGACCCTTGAGGTACAGTGTACATGTATAAGTTAAGGTACATTTTTGTACAATCGGTTTTTGTTCCAAGGAGAATTTTGTAAGATTCAAGAAGTTTCCTGTTAAAAAAACGAGTGAAGTTTAAAGTGTCGATTACAGTAGAGATATATTTTTAAAAGGGAAGAGGAAAGACAATGGGAAACTCAGTGAGAAAAAAGTTTCAAACAAAAATGGACAAGATGTGAATTTAATGTTTAACCATTTACATACTTTGTTTTGTTTTGTTCAAACTTGATTACTCATTTTGGTTGGTTTGACGTGTGTCACCACGTTCGGGAGAATCAATTATTCTGTAAAAGGCGCGATGCAGAGCCCCAGAGGACAGTCAATTTCACTTCAGTAATCGAAACAGAAATAAAAAGTAAACCTAAACTTAACAACCGGTTTCCTTATCTGTGCAATGGTAAAATAAACATGATTGTATATATTCATGACTGCCTGGGTACCGGTGCTTTTATATGCATGCGGCTCGAGCCAGATCGATTCTTAGATCCTGGCCGGACAATTATTCCAAACAAGGTCAAATCTGCTAAACCTGTATCCTCGGATTCTAAGGTTATCTGTGGATAGCCTAGAAGATATTTTGCCTCGAAACCCTTTGAGAAAACTGGTGCATCTAGCAGTCTTGCCTTGCGGAATTGATTTCATGAATAATGACAAAATAGTTAAGAGTGGTTTCACAAGTTACGTTTTGTTGTGCAGATAATGCTTGCGTAAGATGTCACAAGGGCTTTGTGCTAAAATGGATTGGGAAGTCGGGTTTGCGCAGTGGTCCTTTCCTTGCCTTCCACCTCTATGGCCCGGGTTCGATCTCGCCCAGTTCAACATGTGGATTGGGGTGTGGTTTTTTTCAGTCCCTGCCATATTCCTTGCATATTCCTCAGAACATCCACAGAATTTTCCATGGAAATTTCGTCTTCTCACAACGCTTTCCTTCAGGCTTGTGAGATACAGGATTTTTGGCACTTGACGGGAATTCATTGTTTCCTTACCAGAAAGAAATAAGACATTTTGTAGGAACACCTGAATTTTAAGCACTTCTTTAATAAAACCATCCGAAATAAGCACTTTCATCACAAAATTGTCTGAGGTGTAGGCCACCCTTCGTTCATTCTGTTCACATTTTTTCAATTCTAATGTATACATACACTGTACATGTACGCCCATGTATGTACTTTATTTATAAGAAGCACATGTACAATTACTGTTCATGTGTGGGCACATGCGTTGAAATTGTGTCAAGTAATTAGCGCGCGGCACGTAATCGTGTCAGGTACGGCAGTTACGCCACTTCTCACAGTTGCATCTGACACTCTTCATTAATGGCACTATTGAAAGTGCCCGGGTATCGCTGACGTTATTGATTAACACGGGGAGGACAGGTCGTCGGTATACAGAGTTTACATTGTACAGAATGCGGGGCGTAATTAGTACGCAGGGGTCCAAATTGAGAAGTTATTGTCACTGGTTGAATCATTAACAAAAGGCTGCAGTTGATAATGCCAATGGATGACACTAATAACGAGGTGAGTAAACATCGAAACGAGCGTAATTTTTGCAAACTTTTTTTTCCCATTATGACACTCCCAGTAGCAAACAGAAGCATTTTGGCTGGGCCCAATTTTATATCGCTAAGGAAATTGGTGTACGGTACTAAGCAAAACTCAGCAGGATACCATTCACAAGCTATTGACATTGCATGGAATTTTGGCCAGTGACCTGTTTTTGTTAAGCAAATATTTTCTACACTGAGCAGATTTCTGGGTCTAAATGTCCCCGTTTCCTTTTTCAATTAAGGTTTTGCAGACATACATGTACCGTAGTAGGGAACTTCAATCCACACGTCTAGTTACATGTTCTTCAATTATTCCTTCCAACAAATACATGTACATGCCCACTAATTTAATTGCTAGAAATCTTCCCAAATCCTCTTTGCAAAATAAAGGATTTTGTAGGATTGACGCTCACATGGCAAAAATGTGCGGCTGGTTTTGGAGGATGCACTGTGTCAAGGTCTCGGGCCGGACTGTGTGTAGTTTATGCTCAGCCGTGCATAAATTTAGGCCGACATTATACTTGAAATCCACCGCACTGCTCCAGGATGTCACTGGCTGTGCCTCAACATATTGACAGTGACTGCTGGAGGATTTTGCAGGACTGAGGCAGTGGCCACCCCTCCAAGGACCATTCAAGAAATAATAGAGGATTTGGAGGATTAAGGATGGTTCCTAGCCAAAAGGGCCTAGGGGGCTAAGGGTGGGGGAAGGGTGGGGGGAGGAGGGTGGTGAGGGGCCCATGTGGGGGGTAGATTCTATTTTGTGTGTGCCCAGTTTTAGAACAGACTCAGCAGAAGTCTGGAAAACTACGCGCCCTTTTCTTGCCGATAGTGTTTGCAGGCTGATGTTGCAGAACTTAACAACTCTTCAGGCTGATGTTTCAGCACGTGACAAGTAACTCTCTTTCATTTTGTGCCTTGTTTCCAACACATTTGTTTTTCGTAGCTTGCACTCTCGGTTGTAATAGAAACCAACGCACCACTTGCGCGGACAATTTTAAGAATGTAATTTGCCAGTGTTGGAGAACAAATGTCAGACATTCAACTGTGAAGTAACTGAACTTATGTATATGTTCAAAATTTGAATCTGTGCAGGACTTGCCACAGTGTTTTAAGGACACTTTTAAACTTCAAATAATTACAGCCATCATTTTTTGAGGTGTGCCCATTAATTCTACATGGATGCATGTACAGACCTGTTGCTCCTACATTGTTACTGAATTAAAGTGACAAAAACCCCACAAAGATGTCTGCTGGACGCAAAAGATCCATGCATGGCTAGAAAAGCATTTGCGTAACATATTGCAATCATGTGCTCGTCTAAAACGTATGTATATTTATCGGCATCATTATGGAGCGAAGAAATCGGAGCCCACTTGTTATGACAGGCAACAAGCTCTAAGGATGCACCTTAGAAATATGATACACAGAATAAAAAAAATGAAAATATTTAAAATCACGCCTTCTTCCCCGAGGCATCTATGTGCGTATTCTCCCCCCAGGGTGCTGACACATGCTCACACGCACACCTAAAGAAACACAAGTGAGAAACCCAACACTAGGTGTGAGTGAGGGAAAGTGAGACCGTCTTTAAACGTAAGGGAAGTGGGCGAGAGGCGACACGCACTCGGCGCTCGGTCGGCCTGGAGTGGAAAGAGGAAACCCCCCTAAGAGTGACCGTGAACTTCCGGACGCTTCCTGCCAGCTCATTATGCTGCCTTTTTTTTATCTTTTTTCATTATTTCTCTCCTTGGGTTTGACAATCATTATCTTTCTCGAGGACGATGCCGTCACGGCCGCGCGGTTAATGCCCCGGATATGCAAATGAGCCTGACATCCGAGGGTTGGCGACGCCCCTGACGGTGGCCTCACACGTGGGTTGAAATGTTAAGGGTTTTTTTCTTTTCAGGTACGTGGACACCTTGAAATGTCGAGCTGGCGACAGCATGTATTAAAATTACCATGTAAATGGAATTGTGACGGTGATAGGGACTGACTAATCGTAAGGAAAACAGAAAAAAAGGAAGAGGTGACTTCAATATCCCAGGAGCCGAAAGTCTGTCGCAAAATAACTTTCTTGATAATGCAGAAGACAGTCTGGCTTCGGGCAGCTTATGTCCCTTGATGAGAAAATCCGCACGTGCAAATTACTGGGTTGTTTTGGAATCAACCTCATGCAAAGAAACCCCAAGATTATCCTAAAGTAACCCTTATGATATCCTTATATTATCCTCAAGTAATGTTTAACAGTTGCTTTTTTCATGTGAAAAGAAGACACCAAAATGACCACCTACATGTAAAATCCATAATTTTCCCCCCCATGTTTTTTTTATACAAAACTAAATTGACCATATTCCATCTTACTGGCACACCACTCAAATGAAAGGTCTTTAACTCGATACCACATTTGAGGTTGTGTTGCTCGTAGTTTTGAAGATTTCATAAATTTTCCACTTTTGTTGCTGTGTCTACTTTTCGGTGGAATTGTCCCTAACATCCTCAGGTTACCCTTTCTGATATTATCCTAAAGAAGCAAAGTAGCCCTTATGATATCCTTCTGACATTCAGTGACCCAACTCCACCTACCTAAGAGTAACTGGATACAGTGCAAATCTTGGCTTAAGATTTACATCGGAGGCAGCGCACACTGTAGACTTTGTCGCCGAAAGGGCCGAAACTAAATACAAATATTTAAATTCCCTAAAGAAAAGAAACAATTCGGATATTTTGTCATGTGCCAAAGTTATATAGCGCACACTAAAAAAAGAAGAAGATTTGTTCAGATAAATAGCATAAACAAGTTGTTATCCTGTTTGTTTGGTTTTA